ACAGTACTGCCAAGTAAGAAGAAGGTCCTGAGTTCAATTCCTGGTACAAAAAAAATGAATTTCTTATGAATTAATCTTCCTCAAGAATATGCAAAACAATCCTAAAATGCTAAGCATCCTGACCTTTGGGCCTGCACCTCAGCCTCCACAGCACTGAAAGAAAGGCTTGTGTCAGCTTACTGTTTCCTGAAATCAAAGCAAGTGAGTATCCTGAGGGAAAAGCAATTCCAATAGCATGTTCAAAAAAATTATTTGCCCTTCTGCCACAAATTCAAAGCTTGAAATCTGTAGGATGAGACACAATAAGTAGATGGTATAAAGTAAGAAGAATGTGAACAGTTTGCATGGCATTCATATGGGCTGTGGTGCTGGCATCTCTGGACCCCTTTTGTGCTGCATCCTTTTCATCCACTTCAAATGTTTCCAAAGGGAGAAGATGAGCAGAAAACAAGCTGCCAGGGACACAAGAAAGGGTAGGATCATGAACATAGAGCTGATGAATAAAAGAAGTGTGGGAACCTTTTTAAAGTTCTTCATACTGGAAGTGTAAGATACATTTCTTCTAAATCGATCAATCCAGAAATTAATCTGTATGTCTATGACAATGATATTGAACAATAAGAGAACCAGTGACATCAGCAATATCAGTAAAACCACTTTTTTAACTCTCCTCTTTAGGTAAAGAAAAATAAAGTTAGAAAAATTGGCTATCTTGAGAAAATAAAAGAGGCTGAGGCACATAGCAAGCCAAATGTTAAAATGATTGGTCACAATCAAGCTGATAATAATCATTCTTAATATATTTGCAGTCTTCAGAGAACCTGGATGTGTTGCATAAAACATGTGTGTCAGTGCTGAGCAGAGTAGAGCAACTCTGGAGATTGCCAAAAAAGTGAGGATTTGGTCAACAAAACAACCCTTTCTTCTCTTCATCCAGTCCATTAAATTCACCAGGGCTATGAAGACATTTCCTGCAATGCCTATCATGGATTCCACAGGTGAAACAATTATAAAGATGCTATTTAGAACTCCAACCATTTTCTGGTAGAAATTGCAGCAATTTCAAAAGTCACTGCTAAAAAGCATTAGTTGAAAATGCTTTCTAATTTCAATTTTTGAGAAGTCAAAATTACTTTCCCTTTAAGAAATGACATATACAGTACCAGTTCAGGGGCCATCAAGAATATGCAAGATGGCACTCACATGTTCTTCATGAAAGTCATGAATTTTAAAAGAAATCCCAACTGAGTTTGATCCAGATCCCGTGTGACTTGCATATAATAGCACAGAGTCTTTTGGAGTTGTTGATGAAGGAAATGCTCATAGCCTAACATGCAAACAAGATAGATTTATTTACATGACTTTCATTTTTCATCAATCCATGTATTTCAGCCTGGCAATCTAATTTGTGACCAAACACTATTAGAAAGTGATAAAGGATGCATTTGGTAGCAAAATATAAAGTAGTTTCCGGGATATCCTAAATACTGAGGATTTATAATATTGTCTAAGTTAGGTACATATAGGAGCCTCTCAGTACATTGCTCTTCCAAAAATATGTCAGAATTTTGTTAGTATTTTAGAAATTATTAATAAATATTGGGTAATATCATTTTATGTTTTAATAGTGCCTTCAACCACACATTCATGTGAATCTATTATTTCCTATTTATTCCAAATAAGCACATTGTCAGATTTTTCACTGATTTGACATCTTAAACTTCCCAAAAGACATTTTCCACTTCAGAGATTATAGGACAAAATTTCTTTGGTTGCTAGGGTATATGTGTGTACCTGTGCATATGCAAAAGCCTATCATAATAAAGTCATTCCTAGGCATGAATAATCATTTATAAGATTTATGGAATATTGCTGCATTTGATAAGAAAATACTGGAAGCTTTCTGCATAAAGCTAACATTAAAACAATAAATGCACAGTGTTGATGATCCTAAGTATGACAAAGTTTCATCAAGCCATTTAAAAATTAACATTATGAACTGTTAAATCTTACTAAGAGGCAATTACAGTGATGAGCACACATTGTCGAGAGATGAAATTAGGAAAAGTTAGTTAAGGGTGAAAGAAAATATGTCTTTATTTGCATGCCAGCAAATAAGAAGGCATATTGCATTCAACCTCAGTCATGATCTATACCAGTCCATGACAGGGAGTAGGAATAAGAGTTAATTTGAATAGTTTGGCAAAGTACTGTTTTCCATAGAGGTATCACTGAATTCATTTCACATCATATGCCTGTTCCTTCCTGTTTGATGTCGGTCACAGAAATTGAAAAAGACAGAATGTAACTGCCTATCCAAAAGTCAGACTTACATGAAACTCAAAGTAGATTTTAAAGGAATCACAGTGATGCTAGGTATGTCTTTCTTTTTATTTCTTTGATCATGATAAGTGTTCTGCAGACCATTTTGACCATCTTTGTAACAGCAGAGTTTGTTGTTGGAAATTTTTCCAATGTCTTTATAGCTCTGGTTAATTGCATAGACTGGGTGAAGAGACAGGATCTCCTGAGTTGATTGAATTCTCACTGCTCTGGCTGTGTTCAGGATTGCTTTTCTTTGGGCGTTATTTCTAAATTGGTTTTTAACTCTGTTTAATCCAACTCTAAATAGAGGAAATATTTTTTATATTTTCTGGATAACAACCAATGATTTTAGCATCTGGATTTCTACTAGCCTCAGCATAAACTATTTGCTCAAAATAGCTAATTTTTCCAATCTTCTTTTTCTTCACCTAAAGAAGAAAGTTCACGCTGTGATTGTATTGACACTGTGGGCAGGATTGGTATTTCTTCTTTTTAGACTTGGGATCACTTATGTATATCATATAATGGGGCTGGAAAAGCACGAAGGAAATGTGATTTCTAAGACAGAGCTGAGTGAGACTATCATTAGCACACTCAGTGTAGCTTAATTCATACCTATCATTGTATCCATCATGTGTTTTCTGTTGTTAATCTATTCCCTTCATAAACATCTTGGACAGATGCTTCAATACAGCAATGGATCTAAAGATCTCAGCACCAAGGTCCATGTGAAAGCTTTGAAAATTGTGGTCTCCTATCTCTTATTAATTGCTATGTACTTGCTGACTGTAATCGTGTCAAATTGGAGTTTGAATGTCTCTCAGAATGAATCAGTTTTCTTGATTTCCCAGACTTTTGCAACCTTATATCCTTCAATTTATTCATGTGTCATGATTTGGGGAAACAGAAAACTGAAACAGGCATTTGTTTTGCATGTGTTGCAAGCACGTTGCTGCTGAAGGAAAAGAAACCCGTCAAGAAGAAACCATCAATAGAATGATGCTTTGTGACTTCTAGAAGTACACTTTGACATTCTGTATTCTATGTTCTACAGATTTTCCTAAAAAATCTCTTATCTAAATTTATTAGGCGAAAGAATATGTGTTTTTGGATTAGAATACGTGTGTGGAAAACATTAAAATTGTCAATAATGTACCCTTAATTATTTCTATGGAAAAGAACTAATTATATAAAATATGGTTGGAAGATTATCAAAATTATGAAATAATTTATATTTCTTACACATAGTCTGTTATCCTCCATTTGAAAAAATTATGATTCATATTTATGCCTAGTAATATACTATTAACTTATCTCAAAAATCATTGCTATTTTCCATGATCTTTAGATCATATGTCAATTTGTGTTTAGAGTTAAATGTTTGAACTCTTGACTTATGTCAAGAGCATTCAACTCTAATTATATATCAAAGATATGAGTTTGAATCAGGTTTTATTTCTAAAAAGTATTTTATTTGTTTTCATAGATACTATGGTTGTTATTATAAATTATGTAACCGGTAATATTTTAGCTTAGCAAATATTTATGATAAATTTAATTTTGACTTCAAGCAGATTATAGAATGTATAAAACTATGTAAGTGGGTAAAAAACTTACAAAAAGATCATACCTCAATAAGATCATTATCTTAGTTACTCTTCCCTCATTGCTGGGACAAATATCTGACACTCAAAATTAGGGAAGGAAATGTTTATTTATTTATTTATCTGGAGATGTTTATTTAGCTCAGTTACTGGAGATTTCAGTGCATACTTTTTTGGTTCCAAGGCAGACTGGCACTTGGCAGAGGGCAGCAGTTCATGACGGCAGTAAATAGCAAAAAAGAAAGAGCAGAGAGGAAGAATAATGGCAACAATGGCTACAGAGAGCAAATCTGTCTCCCTTAAATTGCATTCAGGCTATATGCCCCTGGCTGCGTGCAGTGCTCACGCCCATAATCCCTGTGGATCTTGAGTTACTCACAAGCTCTAGAAGTCCACACCATGACTGCAGGAGGCTTTAGAGGGACAACTAGACACAAATCATAACAATTATGATCTAACATTAATGCTGTTATAGTTAATAGTTCTTTATCTTTTGGCATTCAAAGAGGTTAAAGTGGTATTTCACTGCTTTGCATTTTACAATTCCCTGTGAGTAATGATGTTGGGTACTGTTTCATGATTTTATGGTATTTTTTTTTTTGTTCAGAAGCAATTTATCTTTCTCTAATTTTTCTAAATTTAGATGCCCTTCTTAGCATTGATTTAAAGGAAGTTTTAATGTAGATACATTCATAAAAATGTGTCCCTTGTCATCTGTCATTATCACCCATCTATCTATCATCTATCTACCTAATAGTTTTTCTTGAAGTCTATTTTGCTTTTTATTAATGTTATATTTATCAATACTAATTCATCATAGTTTCTTTTATTACTCTTATTTTTTACATATGTCGAAGCTGAGAAATCTTTCCAATTTCAAATGTCACAATAACATTACTAATTTTTTCTAGAAATATTAGTATTTTATATTTTTATTGGGTTTATCTTCACTTCAGATTACTATTTCATGTTTTGTATAGTAATTTTTTTATGTATGTAGTACAGGGTCTCACTATGCAGATCAGATTCGTATCGTGAACCTCCTATTTTCAGCCTCCCAAACACTTGGATTACAAGCATGTGCCACCACTCCCAATCTTAAGTGCTGTGTCGGTGCACCCTGAGGGTGGGGCCTGCTTAGGCAAGTAGGTCCCTGCACTTTGCCTGAGCAGGCAGTCTAGTCTGCTGAGCTATCGGCTGGTCCTGTACAGTAAATTTTTAACATTATGCCTAGAAGTAATATTTTTAACAGAAATTTTATTCACAGTAAGATAGTTTTGATGTCTTCTTTGAAAATGAAATAACCAGAAATAAGTGAGTCTGTCAGTATGTTTCCTATTTCATCCAGTAGTCTCATTGTGTAAGAAAGCAGAATATATTTAATTAATATGGCTGCATAGTCTCAAAATCAGAGAGATTATTAAATATGTGTGCAATCCAATTTATGCATCTTTAAATTTTTTGACCATGAACCAAGCATTATGTAAAAGAAATCAGTGTAATCCACGTTCATTCTTGTTTTCTTTGAAAATTTTTATAGTTCTCAATTTTACATCTATGTTAATATCAATTTTGAATTAGCTTTTTGTGTGTATTAAATGAGCATCTAGATGAATTGTAATATGTATAAATTATCAGGTTTCTAAGCATCATTTATTAAGAAAATGAATCATTTCTCATTGATTCACTTGGATACCTTATTCAAAATCAATGCACCTTGAATGCTTTTATTTCTAGTGACATGCCAGAAGAGACCCTATTTTGTTTCCTTAAAACGTCATTTGGGAAGTCACTTGAACATAGATAAACTCACTCCTAACTCTTTACCTTCTTAGCCATAGACCCACATAAAAAGGAACAAGATGCCCTCTGGAGTAACAAACAGATAAGGCAGCCTGTGGGGCAAGCTAGAATTGAACCCCATCCTCCCTGACAACTGGGAAATGTCAGTCTTGTGATGGCAAAGACTTAGACTTGTGAATTACTGTTTGCTTCCAAGAGAAGGTAATGTGGTTACCATAGAAACCTGTAAAGGATAAAAACTCCAGAGAACAAAGCACCAGGGTCAACATTTTATGACTCCATGTGGGATTGTCATCCGCCGGCTGAATAAATTTCATTTGTAACAATGTTTTAATCCTTTCATGAGGATTAAAACATAACACTAGATTCTCTGAGTGTCACTTTAGAAAAAATATATCTATATCTATATCTATCTATATCATCTATATATCTAAATCTATTATATCTATCTATATATGTTAATTTGAGTTCTATGTCATTTTAATTTGCAAAGCTTTGTAATTAAAGTTTAAAATCATAAACTAGAATTTTCCAATTGTATAGTTTTCTGAAAATTTTATTTGGCACTGCCTTTCTATATATGAATTTAGAAAGACATGTGACTTACTTGGATTTGATAGGGATTGAACTGAAAACATAGATGACACTTGATTTAGGAAAACTGCATTCTATTGGATTTCAGTCCTCCTGGACTATTTTTATTTGTAAAGCTGATAAATTTAAAGTAAAACTTTAGCCTTATTTTTTCTTTTTAATGGTTGCAGGAAATTACCTTTTGTTCTTTTATATCGTACATTTCATATCTAAGTGGAAGTTCTCATATGTAACTTTCTTTTTAATTACTGGGATTAAAGCCAGGTCCTGGTTCATTCTAAGTGATCACTCTCCCCATTAGCTGTATCCCCAGCCCTGAAAAATATCTTTTAAGTATAAATAACAAATGTTTAAATGAGTTATTGATAATCATGACCCTGCTTATGCTAGACATGAAAAAGGAGAAACGCTTCCCATGGTACTATACATATTCGTCTCAAAGAGGAACATCATTCAAAAAGGATGGTTCTTTCCTCTGACGTTTACTGTTCATCCCCAAGCACAGAACAGTTGTAAAACTAAGTTCTAGATCAGATTGCATCAGTAAGAAAATCTGTTTTTCTGTTCTGGTTGGCTGACTCCCATGTTTGCTCATAAAAGGTTACAAACCTTGGAAAATTACAATGTGCATCTTGAGGTTCATTTTAACATGTTATTATTAAAAGAAATACAAGTAACCAAAAATGAAATATTTGCATGCTAGCTGGGATGCTAGAATGCTAGAATTCTGTTGTCACTCTAAAACAAAGTTATAAAAGGTACTTGCTTATGATAGAATATATGAATATGACTTAATTTGAATTTCTATTTGGCATAATACTATTTTCCATAAAGATAGCATCAAATTCATCCACAATTCTGTTGTTTTGTTGTCTGATCTTAGTCATAGAATTTAAAAGAATTAAGCATTGAGTTGTCCTCACGTAGGTCAAATCACATGTAATTTAGATAAGAATCATTCCCAGTGTTATTTGGTCTGTCCTTTTCTCCTTTATTATCTTCTATTTGCTCATACATGACAACTCACTACACTAAAGATCTGAAGATTTTGTTGTTGAAAAATTTACTAATTCTTTCATTGCTTGGGTGATCTGTATGAATTGTGTAAACAGATAAAAAATCTCCCTAACTTATCAAATTTTAACTTTTTTGTTTGTCTCCAGTATTGCTTTGCCATGGGCAATGCTCACAAATTCGTTTCTAATTGTATTTAATCCAACTGTAAATAGTAGTTATCAAAAATTGTTCAAAAAAGAGAAATATGTTCTCAGCCTGTTTAATTATCACCAATCCACTTACATGAATTGCTAGCTGTGACATTTTATTCTGATTCTTTATTACAGGTATAAAAACATTACGACAGTCCTAGCCCTGGTCCGGTGAGTGTGCGGAGACCTTCCTGCTACCCTGCGCCGGCGGGAAGTCCCAGCCCAGGTGCAGAGTGGGCCGGACCCTTTCCCAGCCCCTAAGGCAGGCCCACACCACTCCACAGTGCCTCCCCCACCCCACCCGCCTAGTAGGAATTTTAGCCCCGTCCAGGATGCCCCAGACCCAGTCCTAGCCCACGTCC